ATTATTATTATTATTATTATTATTATTGTTATTATTAGTATTATTAGTGTTAGTAAAAGCTCGGGCATGCCAGTATATGCAAGCGTATGCTCGGGCATGCCAGTATATGCAAGTGTGTGCTCGGGCATGTTAGTATATGCAAGCACATGCTCGGGCATGCTAGCTTTTGCTTGGTTATGTCAGTATATGCTAGCACAAGCGCGGGGCTTCGGGGGCAGGCTAGGGCATAGGATTAAACGCCGTATCTACACCTTACCAACGTATGTAAATAGTCAGCGACGACGCTATATCTGTATCTACATTCGAGAGTCTCGAGCGGCCGAGCCGAGCCGAGCCGAACGCCAAGGCACACGCACACACGCATACACTCGTATAAACCCCTCGCATATGCCAGCGTTCGCCAGCGACGCTAGGGTATGCCAGCGTGTGCGAGCGAACGCCAACGGTTCCACGTGTGCAAGAGTAGTAGGGTTGAGTGTCACTGACGCAGCAGCGCGCGTAAACAACAACAAAGATATATATAGTCACAGGTCGTGAGGCCGTTACACACTATACTCGAGAACCCAAGAGTATGTAAAATGACACTGATGGCTCTGAGCGCGGTTAGCGTCGACGTAGCGGAGCCCTTCGATTGGCTGGAAAAGTTAAAGACAAAATTTGGCATGGACACACACACACACACACACTACAAGCAGTCCAAGCACCCCAAGCCCAAGCGCTTGCATTACTTCCATACACAAGTCCGTGTACTGTGCAATACGTTTTATTAGTTTGCAATGTAGTCACACAGACCTTCTCTGACCAATCAGAGAGCCCCGTCATCCCCATATGTAGCGTAACACGTACAGTATAACACAAGTTTGTACGATACGCTTAAAGGATCAGGTCCCTGCATGGCTGTACTTCAGTATCATTCTGCAACAACTTACCCGCAACTTAAACATGACATACGGTATCGTGAGTTGTAGGTAAGTTGACTTATATCTACTTTCTACAATACGTCACACCGTAACTTGACGTCACGTTACAATGCATAAGAAATAGTAACGTAATGTCAGCATGTGGTACGACACCGCGGCTTATACAGTGTGAAAGTTACGGAACACCACCATTCACTGAGGGGCCCTCAGAGCGATACTGAAATACATACAACCCCTCACACACAGCGTTTTGTCACAGCGAGGGGGCTGAAGGTATGTTCCTGCAACACTCTCCGACAGCTTAAACATAACGTAAGATGTCGCAAGACACAATAAAGTTGTCGGTTAGTTGTTGGGCAGCGTCACTGGAACACACTCCAAATACATACAGTGCGAGTGTATGATAGCGCTATCCACAGCAGCCAACACAGCCTATCGTGTGCTCGCGTTGCTTGTATGCCATTCAGAAGAGGCAAGATTGTAGCCTGAATTCCCCTAGCACCGTCCCCACTATAAATGCACTAGAAAGGCTCAAAAGTTGCGGTGCATCGTATTGAGCTCGCGTAATAATAGTCCTACCTCCTGGAATCAGTCTGAGGTCGGAGTGACGCACGCCAGGAGCGTGCAGCCGTGTGTTTACAGCCTCTGTGCCGTGAGGATAGAGAGCGAGATAGAGGGATAAAAAATGCGAAAGTTGAGCCCGGCGAGCTGGTGCAAGAGACGCTAAGGTTGTCGCCGACGTGGGCCACCGCATCTTCGAGGAAAATTCGAGATTGGAGATAACTAAGGTGAGAAAATAGAACCGAAAGACCGCCAAAACATTAGCGGCGGCGCCCCCGCGCGCGCAAGCGGCCATTTTCAACGCCATCATACGTTTTGTTGGCATCTCTCTCGCACGCACTGCACCCCCATGTACCCGCTGTTCCGCCTACAAACAGAATATATATGTATATACGCACGTTGCACGTAGCAGTAGGCTTATAGAAAGAGAGCAGTTGCGAGAATAATTTTTTTTGTTACTTTTTACTTCTTGTTTTAAAAAAAAGCCAAAAATTTTAGGGGAGATTTAGATCAATTTCACAAGGGTTAAAGTGGCGTCAACGTGGATAGATCGAGCCATTGCTCGGTGCGCAGCACAAACTTTCCCTCCATAATAGCCTCAATAACAACAGCACATAAGTGTGGGTGTTATTGACGTTGCTGTTTTGACGTAGTTTTGTTGTTTTAAAGGTTCTTATTTTTTGGTAGATGATTGGAGTGTTTAATTGTTGTATTTTGTAGGTTGGTGGGCCTAGTGTAAGAGCCCAAGGCGTCTGTCAACATGTTCTACGCTCACTTTGTGCTAGCCAAGAAGGGCCCGCTGGCCCGGATTTGGTTAGCTGCTCACTGGGACAAGAAGTTAACCAAGGCTCACGTCTTCGAAACCAACATCGAGAAATCCGTTGATGGTATTTTACAGCCCAAGGTAAGAATTTTATTAATCTATCTGGTTTATTATTTTTTTAACTCAAGTATTGAATCAAGTATATAGCTTTTTGAAATTCTGTGTCTTCATGTCGACAAATTTTACGTATAGAATATCATTCTTTTCATTTAGTGAGATACTTGATTCTGCTATGTTTTCAAATTAATTGTGAAAGTCAGTTTAAAATGTACAAAATAAATTTTTATTGATTGAAAATTTAAGAAGCACGTTGGTTCATTAATCTTATAGGTCAAAATGGCACTAAGAACTTCGGGCCATTTGTTGCTGGGAGTAGTCCGTATCTACTCTCGTAAGGCAAAATACCTTTTGGCAGACTGTAATGAAGCATTTGTCAAAATTAAAATGGCCTTTAGGCCAGGAATGGTGGATTTGCCAGAAGAACACAGGGAAGCGGAAGTCAATGCCATCACTCTTCCTGAAGTCTTTCATGACTTCGACTCTGCCATGCCAGAATTAAAGTAAGTCGGCATTCTTATAACTATTGCCCGAAATTGTAACTCTATTATGACCTAGCGATCATAGCTTACATCTGTACAGGGACGTTGATATCGAGGCACAGTTCAGCTTAAACCAGTCGAGAGCGGAAGAAATCACCATGAGAGAAGATTATGGAAGTCTGTCTTTAGTTACCCATGACCAAGGCTTTGGTGATATGAGTTTTGATGTTGAACCAGAGCTATTGAGGCATACTTCGAAAATTGATGGTCCCTTGGATCAGGTACGTTTAAAAAATTTTTATTTTTTTTTTTATTCAACTATTCAAAATCTACCTCTCTTAACGTAAAATCGCGCTTTACAGAGACACATGTTATTTACCGATGATGGTGCAGGAATAGAAGCTGCACTAGAGCAGCAAGAAAAAGAAGCTGTTGCCGGTACTTCAAGTTCGGTACAGCCTATGGACATAGACACACCTATTAGAGATGATGGTTTTGGTGGTCACTTGGGACAAGATATGATATGTGAGAATTATTATCGTTTTTGTTCTTTTGATTCAGCAAATTTTCACTAGCAACGTGACTCATGAAAACATCTTTCAGCGGGAGGACTGTTTGAAGGTGGTTTGTTTGATGAGGCCCCAATGGGCGACGTTCCGGTACCTGATGTAAGCTCAATAGATCAGCCAGAGCCAAGTGCTGCTGCAGTTGCTCCTTCTGTTCATGATGGCTCAGACGACGATATGGGTGATCATTTTGGTGGTGGTGCACCATCACCCATGGGTGGAATGAGCTCTGATGGCTCGAGGCCGGCTACACCAGTAATTGATGCTGCTGGTGGTAGGATTAGCGTAGCTAGCCGACGATTTACACCAGCTCCACAACCTATATCAGACGATCTTGCGACGGATGGTCACGAAGAACAGCCCGCAATGACTGAACAGACAACATTAGTACACGATGAGGAAGAGAGTTTTGCCTTAGCGCCAGTTGATGCCTCAGCCCTCAAAGGTATAATTTTGTTATTTCATTTAGAAATGCACAATTTATCAAAGTTTCACACTAATTATTTATTCAACTTGTGTGATTCATAGGATTCACAAAAGCCAAGCGCAAGAGGAAACTAATTGTTGACGAGGTCAAGAATATATCTGGTGAAGAAATGAAAGCTCAACTCTCTGACACTAGTGATATTGTTACGACGTTAGACTTAGCACCACCAACTAAAAGGTTGATGCACTGGAAAGAGACGGGAGGGGTTGAGAAACTTTTTGCCCTTCCGGCTAGGTCGATACCAGCGAGGGTTCTATTCAAAAACTACAAACGACACTTGACCAGCAAAACGTATGATCATGACGACTTTGGTAGGATAGCTGGCATTGATGACGATGCAATGCCATTAGAACAAATGCGAGAAGAACCAAAAGAGTCTGAACCTGTTTTGGATCAAAGTAACATTCAACCAAGGCGATCGACGAGAAAACGCAAAGCACCCGCTGACGAATCTGAAGTAAGTTTTTCTAGACTGGTTCTACAGAGTTCATTAAATTTTATGCTCCTTAAAATAACCACACACTATTTCAAAACTATAAATGCACATCTCTATATGTTTTTAACAAAGTAAATTTATCTTTCTTATTCATTTTTTCAGCCACTATCGCCAGTGCAACCAGAAATTCCACAGACTTCAGCTGTTTCGGAGCAAGTGGAGCAAACCATGCAAGGAGTCCAAGAACCAGCACGGCTATCACCGACAGAGCATCTTCAGCAGACGCCTGATGCCTCGATACCTCCAGAACCTCCTGTGCCTGACATCAGTAGCATTATGTCTGCAGTTGATCAGGCTGACATGATTGGTGCCGGTACGTCTGCAGGAGTGGAAGATCAATTGTTTGGTGCAGAAATGCCTCAGATTCCTCCCAATGAAGTCAGCTCATTGCTTGGTACGCATGATGAACCCATGGATCAACAGCAGCCTCCACCTGATGATGGCATGCCCCAGATGGAAAACATGGGCTATGATCAAGTAAGTTTTATACTTATTACATTTATTGATTCACTTGTTCGACAGTTAGCAATAACATACGCTTATTCTTTAGAATGCACCACCAGTATCTTTTGGCATGGGCTATGATGACCAGCATCCGCCAGCTCACACTCCAGGTGCTATTTCAGAGAGGGGCGGACCAGCCACACCATGGAATGCTCACGAAGACTACGAGTTCCCACCATCTGTTGGGCCGGTATGTTTACTAATGTTCAATCATTGCAAAATAAAAAACTATTTGAGGTACTTAAATTTTTCAATTTAAATTAACAGCAAGAAGAACAGCAAACGGACGAAACATACGAACAGTTTGAAGAACGTGTCTTGAACAAACGAGCGGCACACATGTACCACGCTATTAAGAATAAACTTGATGGTAGGGAAAACTTAACGTTGTCAGAAATGACGTTTAAAAATAGTCGCAAACAGGTATGTACAACGAAAATTTTAATGTGGTCAAAATTTTGGCTCGGTAGATAAAAGGTATACCTTTTTTACAGGCGGCACAGAAATTCTATACTTTGCTGGTTCTGAAAAAGTTTCAAGTTTTAGAAATCAACCAAGAATGTTCATATGCTGACATTTATGTTACCAAAGGCCCAAAGTGGGAAACTCCAGCTCTTTAAGCAGGGCTTTTCTTAATTTTATACTTATTATTTCTTACAAGTGTAATAATTACTACACGTTGGCATGGTTTCCTCTTCCTACGACTTTTTTTACGGTGGGCGTTTATCACAAACCTATCAGACCACAAGTATTTATTTATCACTCATAAAATAACTCGATAAATTAAACGCATATATTATATAAATATTTAATACTAAGAAAGAGGTATATTTCTACACGAATTTTGTTAGATCTAACAGTTCGGAGTTTTACTTTGTATCCTACATCTAAGAAAATGCGCTTTTTACGAAAACAAGATCTTCGAATTTTCCTATAAATTTTATAAATACGATGATTCGAATTAAAAAATGCATATCCTTGTTTTACGTCTACAAAATGGTTTATATGACAGTTTAGAGAAAATATTACAATATTTAAGCAATATTTGAAAAATTGTATTTCAACCATTACAGTTTCTTGGATAAATTGTATGCGATTAACATCGATTACAGTGTATCTGATATTTTTATGGTTATGGTTGAAACTCAATACTAGTGGAGCGGAGTTTTTAATAGAAAAAAATTGCCTTATTAAATTGATGATAGGTAATATGAGTTATAGATTCTGCCTAGGTAGTATTTTATTTTTCAAAATTCTAAACACTTGATGTGTAGTTCAATACGACAATGAAAGTATGTTTAACAAAATTGGTCGGAGTTGATATAATACGTGATATTAAATTATAAGAATTATTTTAATTTTATTTAATTTTTTTTTTTTTTGTAAATAGTATAAATTGACGTCGCACTTCGATTTTTATTATTTATCAGAATAAAAGTTAAATAAAATTTTCAAAATCATTTTTTTCTTATATATTTTTTGGTAGAGAGAGTTAAAAAAAAATGTCGTAAGCTGTATGATATTTAAATTAAGAATATAATTTTTCACATGTACATCAAGCTCATCAATAGTCTCTTTAATTATGATTTTTTAAGTGAATTTTTCGATAAACCTACGTTGTAAGTTTAAAAATCGTATTAAAAAATAAAATTATTTTTTAAAATAATCTCAAAACAGTGTTTTTTAATATAAGTGTGTGAGTATTTCGAATGTTCTCTAAATCAAATGATTGGAGTTTACGTTATATCCATCGTGTGGTGAACGACGAATGTATATCTCCTAGTTTAAATTACACGATTTATTCAGCCGTAATGAAACATCGTATAAAAGAACTAAATAAACAAATAAGAATTTTAAAAATGTAGTGTAATATATTGTGTTAAAGGAAACGCGACAAAGTTGATTGTTTCGTGAACTTGTACAATTTATTTAGCGCGAAGTCAACATTAAAAAAGACCTATAATTATATTTGCGACGGGATTGCAACAAACATTTTTCTCCTCTTTCTAGAATTATTTTGATCTCCCTGTTTACAGTACTGTTAAGTTTTATATGAATCCCGTATTATAAAAATAATTTTACTGTTTGTAGATAAGAATAAAAAATAATGAGAATAAATGATTGGTAAACCATTTTAGTGTAAAAAGCTTTATTTCATACATTCATATTAATTTATCGCTTGTAAAATCGCATTAATACAAGTAAAAATTGCATTGTTTTAAAGTGTACAAGAATAGTTTTTGTTTGACAAAGTTATCTAGATTTTTTTTTACACCACTATAAATTCTGCAACTTTATTTAACCTTTACGTAAAAAATATGAAAAACTGATTGAACAGACAATAAATATTTAGAGAAATGCCGCTTATTCATCATGTTGACAACTAGTGTAGCACTAATTATTATTTTTATTGTTATTGAGAAGCCAATTATGAAACTTGATTGCCGCGATATTTTAAACGCCTGAGTAGAGACGAGATCGTTTAAATCTTGTTCACCAGAAGAGTGCTAATAGTCATTCAATAAGATGAATTAAAGTGTGTGTAAATGTAGTAATTGTAGTGAAACAAAACGCCAGATGAATTTCGCATTTAATTAACCATCAAGTTCGCCACACTCCATAGCTTCCTTATAACCTCGGTCTTTCTGTTCTGGGTCAAGTTTTATCATATCATCGATTCTCAGAATCGTGATAGCGGCTTCAGTAGCAAATTTGAGGGATTTGATCTTCGAAATAGCCGGCTCGAGTACTCCAGCCTTCTTGTTGTCTCTGATTTTTCCCTCATGCAAGTCCAATCCAACCCTGAACAAAGAGTTTTTATTTTACACACAAAGTTTTTGACAGTTCCAAGAAATTGAATTAAAAAAAGAATATGTACCATTTCAGACCGGCATGTTCTGCGACTGTCTGGCTAGAGTTATGATAGGCTCGAAGTTGAGCAACAAGATCAGTGGCATCGTGTGCCGCATTGACGGCCAAAGTTTTGGGAATTACCAATAGAGATCTAGCAAACTCAGCTATCGCCAACTGTTCGCGGGAGCTCTGTAATAATATTATAATTAGAAAGATTGAATCGACCACTACCGATAAGCATTGGTATTTAAAAATATTTACTAGCGATGTAGCAAAGTTTTCCAAGTAAATGGAAAGTGCTGCTTCTACGCAGCCTCCACCAGCAACGACGTTCTTGCTTTCAAGCACACGTTTCACTACACACAGCGCATCGTGAATAGAGCGCTCCATCTCATCACAGTAGAAGTCATTGGGTCCACGCAGAATGATTGAGCTGGCAGTTCTAGACTTTGGTCTGTAAATAGTTTCAAATTGTATAAAAAATATATTCATAATTCTCAGGTGTATCCTTAATTTAAAATTCTTTTGGCTTTAAACCATATGTTCTCGGGTAGCCGTTGAACTAAAAAAAATCATTTTCCTAGATTAAATTTACCCTCTGATAATGATAAGATCATCATCGCAAATGGTTTCGGTAGCAACTTCGGCAGCTTCCCCAAGACTGTTAGGGTCGAAGACCTCATCGCCTTCCATATTCGTGAGGGATGTCAAGAAGTGTGCACCAGTAGCTTTGGCGATACGTTTAAGATCGGAAGCCTTACACCTGCGGACGGCCATTGCTCCAGCGTCAATGAAATACTAATAAACATACAATTTTCAAGAATTGAAACGATGTTACAAAAAATCTCATCAAAAGTAAATTATCTTACCTTGAGACACAAATCGTCAATTCCACCAGTACAGAGAATAACGTTAGCACCAGCAGACAGAATTTTCTGGATACGCTCTTTCGTGATATCAGCCTCGCGCTGACGAATACCCTCGAGTTTCTCGGGATCTGTGACAAGAATTTCAACACCCAACTTCATCTTGGCCTTTTGAAGAGAGAAGTCGAGACAGGCAATTTTAGCATTTGTGATTCGCTTGACCATCAGCTGCGAGGCAACGGTGCAGTTGAGGGCATATCCCGGGATAAGGGTGGATTCTTTAACGCTTTTGCCGTGAGCTTTGAGGACGTTGACCGCTTTGATGGGATACAGGTGACCACCTTTGCCGTCACTGATTTTGATGGCATTAGCTGCATCAACAACCATGTTGCCGAAAAAATCGGAGTCTCTGATATTGGTGGCAATTATAGGAAAATGGGCTGATACTTTTATTATTAACATCTTTTAGAAAACAAAACACAAAAAAGGATACTCGTTGATGATTTTACTGGACATGGAAGTCTTGGCAACATTAACCAAACATTCCTTACCAAGCTCCTCAACACTGACGGTTAAACGTTCTTGTATATACTTACAAGCTTCCCTGAAAACAATATAATTTTTTATTTTTTAACTTTTTTAATTCAACAGTTTAAAAACTTTCAAACATACTTGCAAGCTAGTCTGTAACCACTTATAACTGAAGTAGGATGTATCTTCTGTTTGACAAGTTCATCTGCATTTTTTAAAAGTTCTGCTGCAATTATTACAACTGATGTTGTACCATCACCAACTTCCTCATCCTGAAGTTGAGCCAGTTCTACAAGAACACGGGCTGCTGGATGATCAACTTCCAAAAGACGGAGAATAGTTGCTCCATCGTTTGTTATTGTAACGTCCTATACAAATGTCACGTTGAAATAACCAGTAAACATTCAATATTTCTTAAATTATTTTAATCATACTTACACCGATATCATCGACAAGCATTTTATCCAGTCCTACAGGTCCAAGTGAACTCTTAACAATATTTGCAATAGCCATGGCAGCCATGACTACAAAAGTACATTTAATTGTTTATTTATACAAGACGCAAAATGTAAACTATTCATAAACACGCATGCACTAATTGTTACAAACTGCAAGTATGAAAAAAAAATCTTGCAAAATTATTATCTCTAAATATGAAGATCAGCTAGGTATTTGGTCAATGTTAAATTTTGTTTATTCATACAACTAATTCATTTGACTACACCCCCAGACCTTCCAACGCCGGCGTTTCGAGATCCAAAAAACCAACCCTTTAAAAGAATACCACTGTCTACTAAGAATCTATAGTTACTTAAGGTTGAAAATTACACATTTCAAATTACTGATCCATCAAATCAATAGAAAAATCAAAGAAAAGATACAGACGCAGTAGAGCTTCAGACATAGGTTATCCTGACTTACCATTTTGAGTTCTGACCGGTGCCCCGGATTGTCGGCTGCCACCGATGGCCAGACTACTCGACCCTGACGGCATCTCACCCTTATTAATTATCTGACTTTTATAAACAATTAAATAACACGTGATTCAACTCGTTCACTGCGTTAAACACCTCGTGCTGTGATCTTTCATAGACTACAATGTGACCGTATATGGATGTGTGTGGTTGCTCCGGTTGCTCGTCGTCAGTCGTCGTCGTCGTCGTCGCTCTCTAAATAAAGGTGCATTTTCATTAGTATACTTTCTTGTGTAAAAACAAAATGTATTTCAAAGAAATTGGCTGAAAAAAAGACATCGGAGGTTTTGAGATGTTTACTTCATACGATTTTCATTATCATTAAAACTATCGCAAAATTTTTAAAATACAGTTTTTATAAGAGCTTGTAAGCTTGCACATCAGTTCAAAAATTTGTCCAGAACTAATTTCATGAGAAGTATCACCGTTTTGTTGTTATCAATAATTATATCATTTGATTAACACTTTACACTGTTGGTGTTTGAATTTTTCATAAAAAGTAACAACAAAAAATCTCGTTTGCCAGAATGCTATAGAAATTATAATTTTTTTTCTTCTTTTTTTTGAAAAAAAGCCGGTATAGTAGAATGTACGATTTCCGTTGTTCAATTGCGAATTGCAACTATAAAAATTAAAAATAAAATTCATCTCATTTGCTTGCATATTACGTCATGACGATATAAAAAACTTTTTGTTTTAGTCACAAATCATATGTAGCTAACGATTGCACTTAAAATATTAATTTTTGCATGATTAACAATAAATTTTCATTTATTGTGATTTATACTTTTTTATACTTAGTTCGATGCAAACATTCGACTGCTCGTTAGAAAAGATACTAAGTATATTTCAAAATTATTAGAAAAAAATGCCTCATTGTTTCTCTCTTTTATTTTTTTCATCGCAAAAGGAATACACGAGCATACAGTGAAACTACGAAATTTGAAAAGAAAAAAATTTTTTCCCCGACAGTTTTGATATAGCTGATTTTTTTCAACGATTTTGTAGTAGGGATAAAAACAAACAAGTGATCGATTATATCATTTTTTAAAACGCATGCATATGGGTCAGAGGAATTAAGCAGTTTGTGGCCTATGGTTAAGTCTAGCTGGACTGGAAAAAAATTGTTCGAATATGGGTTCAAGTACTGGGGAAGGATAGGGTAGGATTTGATGTTAAGATTGTGTTGACATATATTGGTGAAGCATTTTAGCAGTAGCGGGTGTCGAAATCGTATTCATGGTTGTAATTTTCGGAAGTCCTTTTAAGAGTGGTAATGTGTTTGATTGTACGATTGTTATCAGTTGATAATGCTTTTAGAATTAATATGTAAGCCAGATATTCAGCCCTCAAGGAGAGATGCATAATTTTTGTCTCAGCTAAAATCTCGTTGATTGGAGTACTAGCTCTTTATCCCATTGCTATTCAGAGAGATTTGTTCTGGATTCTTTTTAGTTTATCGGTATGGCCTTTTGCACAGGGGGAAGTCCAAAAGGACCCATAATTTAGTTTGGATCTGATCAGAGATTTGTAAAGAAGAGTAAGCGTTTCTGGGTCAGCACCCCACCAAGTATTTCTGAGGCAGCTGAGAATTTTGAGCTCCTGGTTGGCTTTGTTTACTAGTTTGACAGTATTAATACCCCGATTTAGTCTTTTATCGAAATGGATTCCTACAAATTTGACTGATTTGGGTGGATACATCTCTGTATTATTAAGATGTATAAAGTATTGATCCAGTTTAATGTTCCCTTGTGGGTGGTTATGTTTTATTTGGCTCTGACGGATAGGTTCTTGCTGCTTTGTTGCTGTTGGTCTTGTTGTTGTCGAGGATTGTCTTGGGCCTTGTTGGGACTTTCTCTTAGGCTCTGTATGTGTTTGTTTTGTTGTTGGGTTCGTGTGTTGACAGCTTTGTTTGTTTGATTGATGGTTGCTTCAGCATATGATTTGCCTCTAGCTGTGGATGTATATATTCTTTTTATAGCTTTATCTCTGAGTTCAGGATAGTTTTTTTTTGCTACGAGTCGGTGCAGAAGTAGTGCCAAAAACCTTTACTTTGGCTTCCATATACGATATATTATTCCAAACCATCAACGTGTTCACTTCTAGATATCTTTTAAAAAAGAGACATGCAGAGTCTATGCTTTTGTGATTTTTCTCATTTCTACAGTTAGCACATATGATGGAGTCTGAGTTTCACATGAGCCCTCATGTTTTTCTTTTCCACAGTTAAAGCATTTTGTCTCACCTCTGCAGAATTTTGAAGTGTGGCCAAATTTGAAACAGTTGTAGCACTACATTGGTTTTGGAATTAATTGTTCGACAAACGGTCTTCTTCTAAATAAAAACACATACTCTGGTAGCTCTTTTCTTTCAAAACCCAACACAATCAACTGTCTCGGGATCCATTTGTCATCTTTCGATTGGAACTTTTTATTCCTTCTGTTGAGCCTCCTGACTTCTGTAACTCTCTTATGTTTTCTTCATTTTTAATTTTTTAGGAGATTAAGTCGTCTGGGATCATTGTGTCGATTCCTTTGATGATACCTTTTCGTGTTAGTTTTTGGTTCTGACCACGTCTTGTTATCTGGATTCCTTTGCCTTGCAGGTCAGGGTCGCCAAGTAGCGCATTGGCTTCTTCTTGGTCATTCATGGTGACTTCCACTTGGAATATTCCTTTCTTTTCAAAGCTAGTAATACTTGGAAATTTCCCGTCCAAGAACATACCAACCACGAGAGCAGATATTTGTTTGTTTCTGTCTTTATACGAGATCTGTAAGTGGTATGGTCCTTTCTCTGATGGAGTAAATTGAGGGGTAATTTAATTGCTAACCTCTTTATTCAGTTCTGGGTTTTCTACACAGCTAAATTTGAAGTTTTTATTTGAACGTATAGTTTATCATTGTCGTTGTCGTTATCTCTTTCTTCTTGGCTCCTTTTAGCAGGACCGCTACCGTTCTTTGTGTGTAGCTGAGTTAGGTTATGTCTGCCGCTTTTGCCTTCGAGCTCCTTCTGGGAAGAGTGACTCTGACCAGACGGGTAATCCTCTGTGTCCGACATTTCCATGACGAGGTCGACGTTTTTCTCCTCTGCGGCCGTAGCCGCCATCATTTTAGAGCTTCCCGTATACCCGGTAATTTGTAATTACATTTCAGAGCACTATACTCACTACTAATATTTGTTGGTCGTATACACGGAGTTCACAGTTATGTTGTATCCGCAGGTTCAGGAATTCGTAAACGACAAAATTTTCAAAAGGTGAAGTGCTCGCTCCTTTTTTTTTTTTTTTCCTGTTAGCTCGTGCGAGACAACATCCGCTCACCTTCGAGGTTCGATCGCGACTTCCCACTATATATACCTATACCTACTGCAGCATCGCATCACTGCCAGCAGACGCTCTGCAAATGTTTAGATGCAGACTGCAGCACTTGCAGAGTCTAGATCTGCTGATATGCATCTGCATGCAGATGCAGCAGCAAGGTTTACATTTTACCCTGTATTCCTGTATAACTATACACATGCCATGCACTGTACATACCGAGAACCGAGAACGAGAACGAGAGAGAGAAAGATAGAACACACACACAGCAGCGGAGCACCTTTACTGCGGCTGCGAGAGCAGGCGAGAGTGTGCGCGAGTGTCAATCGGTCCCCAGGAATGTGGCACTTCAAAATGGCTGCCAGTTACTTTAGTAATTTACGGCCGTGTCTGGCTTTGTTGTTGACCGTGTGTGATTGTCGTCTAGCCGCGCGTCGTTGAATACGTCTTTTCTGACAGTAGCACAGCAGCACGTAATTGTTGCCCTCCTTCTTCCCCTTTCGACGCCAACCCTTCAACGACCGCTAGCCAGAAAGCCACCCTCGCTAGAGAGAGACTACCCGCACTTTCTCTCTCTCTGTCTCTGCCTGTCTGTCTACTTCTGCTGCAGGTACACTGCTGCTGATCCAGCCTGCATCTTCTCGACTACGACGACGACGACCCCAACCGCGACCATAACTTCTTTTGTATGTATATTGTCGATGAAAGGTCGAGGTTACAAAGCTCTACTGCTCTACTAAGTAGTGCTGACGAATGTTCCCATAGTCGACGTTATTGTGCAGTGCTCTCTCTCTAGTTTTCTTCTCTATTCTGGATTGTCTGTACGTATTGCTTGCCAAAGAGTGAAACCTTTGGTGAAACCATGCAAACTTACGAAAAGGGGCTCTAAGTTTTTGAGAAGCGGTGTACGACACGGTGTATGAGTAACGATGAAAAAAAAAGGATGAGGGGAATAAGACGACGACAGCTGCAGCAGCTGAGTGTACCAATGATTCCTGGAGAAGGGTTTCCCTGTTACTCCGAATTTTGATACTGCACAGGACATACTATGGAGTCGACTTGACATTTTTTCATGTATATTTTTTCATTGGTAAACAATACAGCTGTTCTTGTCACAAGGATACTGGGTGACCGCTTCTCGATGCAAAATGCAGGATGCCAGCTGTGTTTGAGATGGTGAAGCTGGCTGCTCCAGCTGCCAGGCTTCAATGCTCCAGTTTCAAGAATTAAGACAATCTCCGAAATTGATTGGGAGTGCAATTTTTTAATATGATTGTTATGTTTGTGCGTGATAGCTATGATAGTGAACAGCAAGGGGGCTGACAGTTGTCACAAGTTGAGGTAAAAGTACAAGAAGTACTGCACTTTTACCCGGTTCTTCTTGTTTTATGGTATCATGACTATTTGAATACTGTGCTTCAAGTTAACAAGTGCCTTACAATCAAGCCTTCCACATTTTATGAGAATTTATCAATATTAAGTTTTGTTACTCGTGATATTGTTGACAATAAGGATGACAAAGTTATGTATTTCATAGTAGTTTATTTTCGTGATAAAGCAAAACAAATAAATTTTTTTCCTGGCATAAATGTGCCTGTTGCATCTGCGGTGTATTTATGACTCAGCCAAATCAAAGCTAGGTCCTCGAGGGCTTAGTATGGGCCACTATGAATCCACCTGCGGTCAGCAAGTCAAACACACGTGGATACCATCAGAAAGCACTAGCTGAGATCCGTAATTCGCTGCTCCCATTTGCTAATATTGGTGTGTATTTAAGTCTTGTGTATTATTGTTGCTTAATTTTTCTTTCATCATCAAATTTATTGAAAATTACAAATTAAAGTATATTGAGAGAAGAAAAATGTAATATAATTTAAATATAAGTTAATTATCGCACACGATCATACTTGTAAATTATTTTAAAACATGTTTTAACTTGATAATTAACCCTAAATTTGGTTCTGCATCAGATGCAATGCACATTTTTTTCTGTAAAATTTCGGGTTGTATAAGATCATTTCTAGCTTAATGGGCTATAGAGCAAAATTTGTAATTGTCTTTAATGAATGAATATAAATTAGGAATATTTATCTACGTTATTGTAGGTGGTGCAGGAGAAGTTGGTTCTAGTGCTGCTAGTACAATATCAACAGCATCAACTACTAGCGGTGTTAGTTCAGCTTCTGGTCTCAGTGGCTTATCTGGTACATCTGGATCTATAGTAGACAAACCTGATCAACGTCAGGCATTAGCACAACTTGCAGCAATGGGTTACACAGAGGTAAGATCCTTAATTTAAACAGCGTTCCTGACTCTAATTATTCCATTACATGATATCTAATTTGAAAAAATTACAAACATTAGATTAGAATTTCATAACTCATAGCACTAATGGCAACACAGGAAAATATGTAAAAATACATACAATACTCGATCATTTGTTTTATTTTTATGAGTATTTGTATTAACTCAACACACTGCAGATTGTTCACCTTTATTGCAAGCTTTATACTCTTGTTTAAGAAAACGAATATTAAAAGTCATTAGTCACTGAAAAATAGTAAAAAAGCAACAATAATAAGAAAACAAATTGTCAACAGGAACTGAGTGTGCGTGCGCTGAAGGTGACAGGTTGGCGACCCGATGCGGCTGTCGAGTACTTGAAACAAGCTGCAGCCAGCTGTCATCAGGTCGATCAAACGAGCTTAAATGGCATGAGCAAGTTGAATACCAAACTGATCCGCAAGCCAAGTCTAGAGCGTGAATTGTCTCTACAGCGGGGCTCGCCAGCTCTAGACAGCGGTGCTGGGAGCTCGCGCTCCGATAGTCCAAGGTTGCCTACAGAAGCCGGTGGCATTAGTCCACACCATCCTCAACTTAGCCGTCAGTACTCGCCCAGTAGCTTCGTCGAGCGCGAGCCTCCTCCTCCGCCACCCCCTCGCTGCAGCTCCACACCTCCACCACCTCCGCCACCTCACGCACCCTACAGTCCACCTAACGTCCCCACCAAAATGCAAGAGATGCTGAAACGCATGTCACCTGCCCCCGTCGTGCCCAGTCGAGCACCCTTACCTGCGCCTGTAAGTGCTAGTTCCGGCGCCGGTTCGATGAGTGTAACGCAACGGGGTACCAGTCCCGTGTCCACGTCCAGTGCCGGCTCCAGCGGTAGGCAGCCTATGATTGTACAGAATGGACCACAGGTTAGTCACTTTTTCGTTCACCCAAATTAAGCTGCAGCTATGCAGTTAGATTATATTCATCGTAAAGTGCTTATGTACAACTCGCATACTTTTCAAATCACACAGGTACAGCAGCAGCTCTCGCAACAAATGCAAGCTCTGAGTATCTACCAGTCCAATAATAGCGCAAGCTCGAACCAAGTGGAGCCTCCTCCCCCGTACCCAATCGTCTCGTCGTCAGCTGTAGGCCCGGTGCAGCCACCTTCCTACAGCGCCTCAATGCAGAATCGCCAAAGTCCCACTCAGTCTCAGCAGGATTACCGCAAGAGCCCGTCCTCGGGCATTTACTCAGGGCCAACTTCGGCGGGCTCGCCTAGTCCCATCACTGTGTCGACAATGTCCCCCAACAGCCAGTCCCAGTCAATGGCGCGGCCCACGCCTTTGCAAGCTTGGGGCGCTCGCCAAGCCAAGACCCAGCCGCCTATCATTATGCAATCGGTCAAGTCCACCCAAGTGCAAAAGCCCGTGCTACAGACAGCCATCGCGCCCACCTCGCCCCAGCCTATCTCCAACACCAGCAATACACCCCCACCGCCCCCCAGCTACGCTTCGTCGATACAGCAGAAGCAACAGCAAGCGCAGCAGCAGGCTCAACAGCAACAACAGCAGCAGCAGCAGCAACCCGTCCAACCACAACCACCGCCTCCGGCATATCCACCTGTCGTTGGAAACAGCAATGGGGCGCCGGTTGCGGCTGCGGTTAACATGGGGATGTCCGTTGGCGTGCCCACGACTGAGCCACCAAGCTACGCGACGACTATGCAAGCGCTTGCCGCTCAGAGGGGTATGCACCATCCACTACCGCCTCCACCCTATGGAACGCCTACAAGTGATGATTCCTGTGGCATGACTATCGTAAGTATTTTCTTTAATTAATTGCATCCAAAGCATTCAATAGCATCGACTCGAATCCAAATCCTATTTTACACACATGTATTTGAAATGCCAGGGTTCGTCGATGGAAAGCAGCTCGGCGCCTCGTTCGTCGCCTGTAGCTCATCATCCTCCTCTCCAGAGAAAATATTCCCCTGCTACAGTAGTTATAGAAAGTGGATGCCAACAGCATTCATCAGAAACACCACCCTTACCACCGACGGCTTCGAGTTCGGTGTCCAATGCGCCCCGCAACAACACCAACCATTCGTCACCAATCCCAGATGGTGACAAGAAAAAGAACAACGATGGCGGGGATTCTGGTAACAACGTCGGAGGTGGTGGCAATGGTGCCAACAATCAGTACAAGATAAAGCATCAATCGCCGATTCCTGAGCGTAAGCACATGAGCAAAGAAAAGGAAGAGGAGCGTCGGGATTGCAAGGTGCGCAACTATTCGCCCCAAGCTTTCAAGTTTTTCATGGAGCAACATGTGGAGAACGTACTCAAATCGCATAAACAGCGGCTCTATCGGCGCTTCCAACTCGAGACTGAGATGCAGAAAATCGGCCTAAGTGCTGAGGCTCAGTGTCAAATGCGCAAGATGCTTTCACAGAAAGAATCCAATTACATAAGGTAAATAGTTGGTTAATATTTTCTTGTGCTGTTTTTTTAGGTCTTGTTTTTAAGAGAAACTTGAAAAATTATGTCAAATCATTTTCAGGTTAAAAAGAGCAAAGATGGACAAGTCGATGTTCAGGAAAATCAAGCCCATTGGTGTTGGTGCTTTTGGGGAGGTCACGCTCGTCAGGAAACTAGACACTAATCAGTTCTATGCTATGAAAACATTACGAAAGGCAGACGTTTTAAATCGCAATCAAGTAGCGCACGTAAAAGCTGAAAGGGATATTCTCGCGGAGGCAGACAACGAGTGGGTTGTCAAGCTTTACTACTCCTTCCAAGACAAAGACAATCTGTACTTTGTCATGGATTACATACCCGGTGGTGATCTTATGTCGCTGTTGATAAAATACGGTATATTCAAGGAGCCACTGGCCAGGTTTTACATAGCGGAACTAACCTGCGCTGTCGAAAGTGTACACAAAATGGGTTTCATTCATCGTGATATCAAACCAGATAATATATTGATTGACAGAGATGGGCACATCAAGCTCACGGATTTCGGACTTTGTACAGGCTTTCGTTGGACGCATAATTCGAAATATTATCAGCAAAATGGTAATCATTAACTTTTTATTTTTCATGATATTGCGACTCATAATAAATGCTTATAATTCGTTTGCTGCAAAATAGGTCACAACAAGCAAGATTCAATGGATCCGTCAGACGATTGGAATAACGAGTGTCGTTGCATTCAGCTTAAGCCACTTGAACGAAGGCGACACAGAGAGCACCAGCGTTGTCTTGCTCACTCATTAGTTGGTACTCCAAATTACATAGCGCCCGAAGTCTTACAACGCACTGGATATACGCAGCTGTGTGATTGGTGGAGTGTCGGTGTTATTCTTTATGAAATGCTGGTCGGCTCTCCACCGTTTTTGGCTAATACACCTGCAGAAACGCAGTACAAGGTAAGTTTTCATTTCAAATTACATAGTACTGAAGAGCATCAAACTTCAAATTAATCATGAATTTCGATAATTTTACAGGTGATCAACTGGGAAACGACACTGCACATACCAAAGCAGGCAAATCTGTCACCCGAGGGTAAAGACCTCATTTTAAAGCTGTGCGTGGGTGCTGATAAGCGATTGGGTAAAAACGCGGACGAGGTGAAGTCGCATCCGTTCTTTGCTAGCATTGACTGGGAAAAGGGTTTGCGTCGTCAAGTAGCGCCACACATACCCAACATTCGCAGTGTCACAGACACGAGTAACTTTGACCCCGTGGATCCAGACAAGCTACGCAACTCGGAGTCTTCGGATTCGAATAAGTCCGACGAGCTGCTCGATAATGGCAAGCCCTTCCATGGTTTCTTTGAGTTCACGTTCAGGCGTTTTTTTGACGATGGTGGTGGTCCCTCGTATCCTAGTCGAATCAGCCTAGAAGATAACGATAATTCGGGTCCTGTTTACGTATGACATTAGGCCTCGTGACGCGTGTATCGTTCAATACGCGTGTCCAGGTGATTTAAGTTTTATTAATTTAAAGTTGTTCATTGTTACGATGTATGATATAGTGTGTTGAGATTGGACGGTTTCATTATAGATGATTTTAGAATTAACAAGCTTCAGACAAAGTGAAAGTCTGCTGCTACTTTTTACTAATCATAATATGTATTCGCGATATTAAATTTAGTCATACTTCGAATTATTATTTATAGTGAAATCGTCTGATCAATGGATCGCCACTAAGCCCTGTTATCTAACAGTTTTGCGCGTGATCGTGAAACAAAGATTATGAAGGAAATAATGAAAGGTTTGCGTGTACGAACGAAAGTGTTAAATGAAATAAATGCTCCCAAGGGAAAAACTCATAAGACTTGAAAACACATATGGCCGAATTTGAGAATGTCGGTCGTTGTCGGTGTATGCTGATCACGTTTCTTTATATTTATTTTTTTTTTCTCGTAAACATACTTTAGCTTGCCATTTTTCTCACATATAAATTGGCTTTTGAATTAATAAAAAAATAAGCGGATCTTTTTTTAGAATATTTCAGCAAGTACTGTGATATTGCAAATACTAGCATAATCTAGCTTTCAATTATAATTGTAATATTCTTTGACTTAGTCGGACGTTAATTTAAAGAAAATTTGTTGAAGTAATTCAATTGAGTTTCTTTAAACTACCCTAACTAACGTATTTAAATTTTTTTTTTTTTTTTTTTTTTTTTGTTATTTTTTCTTTTTATTTTTTATCAAATGCTGAATTCACCTGTAGTTCTATTATAATGTGAAATAGTGTATAGTACTGTATTTATAACATTCATCTAAATTTTGCGAATGAATATAGTAGAATGTAATGCGTTTGTTTTAAACACTTTTTTTTTCACCTTTTTTCGAACGTGGACTTAACATTTATCAGAATTACTTGCCGAGTAAGTTGTATAATGATCAACGTTTTACTGTTTTTATAACGTTAATTTCGAATCCTTATGACAAAGTAAGTTATGTGATGGTATCGGGTTTTTCTAAGAAACAATCGATTCCTCGTCGTTTCTTATGTATAATCCATAACTAACTTTTCATTGTCAAACGGTATGAGTAGTAACCATGTATTATTAATAAAAAGTTTCAAAGTAGAGAATTTTATCAACATCAGAATGGGTAAAAAGATAATGTCGATAAATATATAATATGTTGCCTTCCTGTTTCTTAAGGTATTTTGTTGCTTTTTATGTGATGTTTGTGAATTATATGATTAGAAAGGACAAAGGATAAAATTGTTTTTATTTAGAATATTAAATTATATTTTATTTATTTCGAAAATTATAAAAATATCAAAGCTTTTGTACATTTCGTGAACACAAAAAAACAAAAAAACAAATTTCGTATCGGAAATAAGATAGAAATTAAACCTACTTGATAGTTTCTAATGCGAATCATCCCACGTGATAAACTTTTTTAAGGGCTCAATGACTCACATTTTGGACTTTTTTGTCATAACGACTCTTTTTTTTTTTCGTTCACTAAGTATTCATTCATGCTGCGGGAAACAAATAAACAAAAATAACAAAGTACGTGCATTGAACAAAATAATGCATGGGAGTGAGTGCCTAGAACATAATACTATGACACATGTTTCAAGTGTGTTGAATTTTTCTCATCAAATTGAAACGTCATGTACTTTAATGTTATGCTTTTAGGGAACAAAATTTATTTATTATTAGGNATGTAAACAACAACAATTATCAGTACGATGATGATGATTTTAAGCTTGTGATGATGTATAAGGTGATGGGAATGATAATGAAAATGATGATGACGGTGATGACGATGATGATAGTAAGGATCACGATAAGTATAATAATAGTAATAATCATGATGATGCTGTTAATAATAAAAATAATAAGAAGGTCAATAACATTAAACGATAATCAAAATGATGATGGTGATGATGATAGTAGTGAAAATAAAAACAATAATAATTATGATAATAATCAAAGAAAAAAGTTATTAACGAGATATATCGAATTTTCATTCAGTTGTATGTACTATGTACAAAAAAATGAGAGCAAAAAAATGATGTACTCTATGCCTAAACGTATGTTATATATTATTATGGTTATCATTATTATTAATCATGATGTGCAAAGATAATACGAAAATATGAAGCAGTGATAACTCAAAATGTAAGGATAGATTTTTTTTCTTGTTCTGCTTTTTAAGTTGACGAACGAAACAAAACGGTAAAGGTATAACGAAACCAATATTTAATAACGTGGAGAGAATCATGTAAACATTGATCCTTTTTTTTTAAGTCCTGATTATTTTATAAGTGATCCTGCCTAACGATAGTCCGATGATGAATTTTCCAAAGAAATAAAGTATCATCAACTTCATTCTAAAACGATATTTAATTTAATATTTTTTTAAACAATCATCAATGGGACCTGCATTTAAAATTTCTTATCGATTCGCAGTGCCAAGACTATTTCGTAGCAAATTTTACTTGATTTTGATCAATCTGTGCTACGAAAAAAAAGAGTAATCATTTTTTTCGTTCTCAGGACTGTTGACGATGGTGCCTTCAAGAAAATAAAGTAAAATATAAAGGGAAAAAAGATAAATATAAGCAATTAATGAACAAATGCCGAATCTGCCTTGTGAACGAACTGATATATTTTCGTAGTTTTTTTTCTCTTGTACTATACTAAGGATTTGTTGGCATACTACAAAAAAGAGTGTAGGGAAACTTTTTTTTTTTTTTTAACAGTAACCAACGTTTGTCAGTAAATACATCAAGCAAAGCAGTGAAATGTGTCAAGGGTCAATTTTGTAATCTATAATGAATGGAGAGAGATAGATGTGTCATGTATAAAAGCGAGCAAGGTGACTGTATTTAAATCGTAGAGAAAATTTTTGTAGTGCATGTTATATAAGTACGCGCCTTAACGTATATTTTTTCAAGATCAGCTTGATTCGTTTAGCTGCTTTGTTTCGCATTCACCTACTCCTCTGAAAACTTGAAGATGAACGAAGTAAGACAATAAAAACAATGCTGGTGTGCTAGTTGAACAGCGAGAGTGAGATCTGTCTAATGATTTATACATTCATGGTAAATAATTTACAAAAAGAGAACGACACAATGTTGTTACGAAGCGTGGGTAGCCGATGTTATTGTTAACGTGTACATTTTGTAATATCTTCTCTTACGTGTAATGTCTCCCCTTAATTTTATTTTCCTCCTACCCCAACAACTGTAATTAAAATGCAAAACAAGTGCGATAGTGAAAGAGATGAGCGACAATTTAAGCTTAGCTTTTTAAGGCACTATATAATATATTACCTTGTGTACATAATTTGGATGAGTGTTCTAAATTAAAAGTATGTTTAATGCTTAAATTAAAAACCACATAATTGTCTATTTTATTTTACTCTGCTTTTAAAATGTATATGTAGCATGTGTGGTCTAAAATCTCATTTTCATTGTCTCCCGAGGTGAAGCCAAAGGTGACAAACGTAAAATTTGAAATTTTTTCACTTAATAGTGGACTTGCAATTTTGCAAATTTTCATATTTTAAAATTTAACTCAGAATCAGCGCCATCTACCAGGGGTGTTTTCCGCAATCAGCGTTGGCCGTGATGGTCAAAAGTTTGCTGCCAACCGCAACCTTCAGAGCGCTTCATTGACTCAGCGCCACCACCGGCCCAGCTGTGAACTATCGCTGATGTATACATAATATATGATGTATATACATGCATGTGGATAATTGGTGATTCGAATGGTGCATTCATGCACTATTGCACTGTCAGGCACTATGCACATTGTCACAAATAACGTGAAGTGTCAAGTTCAGGGCCAAGATGATTAAACTAAACCACTGAGCGCTAACTGGCTCCTTGGTTTAGTTTTTTTCTTCATAATACACGTACTAAAAAATTATTACTTCTCAGTTAATGTCTGAGCTGATAAATTTGGTGACTGTAATGACAAGTTTAATTGCCAGGAAGATAACATTTTGACAACTGATAACAAAAAGACGTCTTAATGATGGAATTTGGCATCAATTTGACATCTATTCGATGTCAGTATTATCAATGTTTTGTGGGCAGAGGCTGTAAAGTTACGTATAGGTCGTGGTGTGGTAACGCCGCTTGGGGTGTTTTCCGCAATCGTCGTCACCATGCAGCAAGTATTTTAAATTTGCGCTCTATACGTTACCGTCAGGTCAGTAAGTCATGCAACTACGGAACTACCTTGAATTAAACTGGCTATAATACTTATTCCGTAATCTGTCCAGTTAAAATAGCAGACAAGACTACGAGAGTCAACAGCGATGAAATAATCTTCACTTTTTTCTCGACTTTCACGTCGTCTGCTGTTTTAACTGCATGCAGTTAATTTAACTGCAAATTTAAATTACTTGCTGGTGACGATTGCGGAAAACACCTAAACACCCCATCAGGATTTTGTGAAATATCGAAGGAAGGTTTCTGATGATGACGTAGGGCTCCTGCACTACCGGCAGTAGTGTATCTACAAATTGTCGGCTATCGGTACAGCAGTGCTTCTGCCATCAGCGTTTAGGCGGTTAGCACTTCATCCAAATTGGCAGACCGCGTTGGTGAAAAAGTTTGACAAAATGGCAGTCATTTATTCGAATTAGGATCAATTTTACTTGTGCGCGATACTGAAATGAAATACATTTTTGAGCTTTCTATACAATTATTTACATGGTTGGATAATCAGGCCGTGATCTACAAGGTTAGTGGTACAAACAGTTGTAGCTCTTAAAGTCTTTCTTTTAACTATATGTAAGTTTCAAGCACCAGCGCAGTTTATAAAGTAAACAGTAACTTGCACATTCTTGCAGGGTCTAGTCAAATCAATAAAACATTTGTCGAGAAATTTCAATTTGCATCATCAGTATTAAATATGTTTGAAGCATTCAATTTCCATGGTTTTGCCCACAAATGGTGAGTACTTAAAATTTATAAAATTTCTTGTGTTTATAAAAATTTAGCTGTCAAAATACAATTTATATGGTTTATTTTGTGCATCTGGACGTAATTATTATAATAAGACAAATCTGCTTCAATTATTGTCATAGGTGATAAAGATTACATAAATAAATATTTACTTAAGTAGCAATTTATTTTACACGATTAAAACAAACATTAAAATACATAATTTTATTATTATTATTATTACATTGTCATGTAACAATTTTTAGAGCAGCAATGTCACTACTTTAAGAGACTCCAATCTATGTGCTTAAGTATCACACAAAAAATATTGGTTCTTTAAGTGCTGTATAAAACGTGTATTTACAATCAGGGTATGTAGGATTTTGATAAAAACCCAAAATCCTGATAAAATGGAGAAAAACGACGTCAACGTTCGAACAATATAACGTACGCTTTTATAGAGAGAGGCGGGGAAAGATTCCTTGCAGAAACGTATCAAAAAGTGAGCGAGATTAATATCCATAATATAGAATTATATTTCTTTCCTGTAAACGTAAGCCAACTTTTTATATTGCCTCAGTGTATGTTAAATGCATATATAATATAGAGCAGCTCTTATAGTGTTAGGGAGTTGAAAATTGCGCTTATAGTCTGATCAGTAGATTTAGAGTCTCTTTAAAAAATAAAATGACCTTGATCATTCTTTGCTGCTGTTTTGGATAAAATAAAGTACAAGTAATTATTAATTACATCATTCATAATATTACAGAAGTACTTACACATTTCTTAAGTTTATTAATATTAATATCATTCAAATTAATACATAACGAATTACCACAAAGCCAAAAGCACAACATTTAATAATAATTGGTTATTTGACATCTCGGCGTTAAAGAAGAACCATACAAATGCGTATAGCAAAAAAAATTTATACTAGCCCTTCAACCCTTTATTTCATTTTTTTATTTTTATTTTATTTTATTTTTTTCAAGATTTTTTGAATATTTTCGAGCACCGACCTCGTAATATCAAATAGAAATTAACTAAATAGTTTTACATTAAAAGAGGCTACTTATCTTGAAGGTTTTAGAAAAAAAAAAAAAAAAAAAAAAAAACAACAATCATTAAAATTATTTTATCGCTTAGGGTCGCTATAAATTCTTAAAATGTATAACACGCATGTATATATGTATAAATGTACAATAAGTGTGTGTTTGTATACAATTCTATGCTGGCGAGACTCAACACCAATAAATTGCAAGTGATGTCGTGTTAATGGGTAAATTTATCGTATTACCGTTAAAATTGCAATGACAGCTTAGTGAGAAATTACTCGTACAAAAAATTAGATCTATATATATCAATCGAATAAAAATAAACGGACAGAGTACCAACATTTTCGTGAACATCGTTGTATTTTTATGTGCATGTAACAAAAAAAATTATGATAAATAAAAAAAATGATAGAATACAAGGACTCGGCTGAAACGAGAAGAGACGCGCAAGCCAATCAACCGTCGTCCTTGCGCTTTTTCTTGGCTCAATCTGCTCAGTACTCGGTGACATCGGGACCTGCAAATACAACGAAAATCGTTAGTGCTTTTCAAAGTCGATTATATCATCCAAATTGTCATTTTCACAAAAAGAAAGCTCGGTTGCCAAATTCTTATTTTTTATCATCATCATCGATATTATTTTTTTGTTCCATTCCTCTCGAAACGTTTTCCAATACATTTTTTTGTCAATCACATATTTTCTTGGGAAAAGAAAAACATGATTTTGCGCAATAATACACACGGTACATCGATTTACAATAGTCAAACGTATTTTTCAATACCTCGCAAACTACAAAACCAACATTCTGGCATTCCATACTACAGACTCTGTGCAATAATAAGAAAGTACATGCAATTTTGTTGAAATTTGAAAGTATTTACAGTGGTAAATCGCACGAGTGCAGATTTTAAAATCATACAATTAATTGTTTCATTCACAATTGAAAGTTACATGCGGTGCAGTAAAAATATCAAAGTGGGTGTTTAATGACATGAAAAATCGCCAAAGCTCGGGTGTGTGTGTGCGTGTGTGTGTGTGTGTGTGTGTATATATTTTCCGACAAGACAACCTATTCGAGTCCGCATGAGAGAATCGACTTTTCGGTTCCTGTCGACATTTTTGGTCTCTGTAAAATATTAATCTGTGCATGAGTACGGGTGAACAAAAAAAATCCAGCTACATTAGAAAAAAAAAAAAAAGAAAACACTGTGTTTCAAATGTTAAAATCCTATCTGGCAGGGATACAGAGAAAAAAGAAAAAACGAATGCCCAAAGACGCGAGTACGGTAACAAAAAACAAAAAAAGAGAGAGCAAAATAATACAGAACGTAGATCGAGAAAAAAAAAGGAGAGAAAATCAGTAACAACAAAATGGTACAGAGCATTGAGAAGGTACGAAAAAAAAAAAAAAAGAAAAAAAGAAAAGAAAAGAAAAGTAGATAGTGACGGAAGTAAAAAATCAAAAAAAAAAGTTATCAACTGTCATAAGTACCAATGGGGGTAAAAAAGTAGTGGCGTCTGACATCTCCGTGACTGCGAGCGAGATACGCGCAAAGGGCAAGGAAAAGAGAGCGAGCCACACAAGTATACACACGCGTAGAAAAAAGAAAAAAAAATGTGTCCTCCGGTCTTTCCTTGCACTTTGCGTATTTGGTCTCAAACGCGGTCGAGACGCGCGCTCGATATCGCCATCCCCGAGGAGAAGTGGAGTAGCACCGGGGCCGACTCAGCAGCGCCAGTGGGTGTTTCTCGAGGATATCGTGCTGGAAAAACCAAATTTGGGTAACGGTCTCATGCGGGACAGTGGTGTCTGGGGCACGTTTTTCGTGCTTCGCACTCGCGGACAGTAGACGTTGGGGCGAGGACGGGTCCACGGGGTCGGATCGACCGACGACCTCTTGCAGATTTGGAAGCAGCTGTCCCGGTGGCTTTTCAACACTGACTCGCAGTCGAGGGATCTCGGCCTGGCGGGCAGTTGTTTTTTGCCGCCCACTCCGCCCCGATCCGACAAAGTTAATTCACCCGAGGAGGCCAACAAATGCCCCTCCTCCCAAGGATCGGTCTCTGTACCGCTGCTTACTTTTGGCGTCCTCAATTGCTCGCTGGTCAGTAATTTGAACAGCCTCGAGTGGGTTTGCGTGCGATCGTACACCTTGGCCACGCGTTTTCTCACGGGAGTGCCGTTGAGTTCGGAATCCGTGTCCACTTCGGACATTTTGTGGCTCATGTCGGACGTGACTCCACTGTCCTCGTCGTCGGTCACCTCCTCTTTCGAATTATTCCGAACCGTCAAAAGAGTTTTTTCCTCTACAGTTCCAACCACCACCTCCTCCTCCTCTTCTCTCGTTTTGTCCTCCTCGGTGTTGGTCACCACGAACGTGGGTTGGACCTGGATTGTTTCTTCGACCGATTCGTCGCGACTGTTTGGTCTTTTGAGGGTGAAGGCTACGAAAGTCTCGAAATTTTCCGGCTCTGTAGTGTTAGCTGGTGACCGACGTCTCAGGGGTATGCTGACACTGACGGTAAACGTGCTCGAGTCTTCCTGGCAGTCCGGGCTCTCGTATCCACCCTCTTTTTTCCCACCGTATGACGTTTCGTTGGTTTCGTCCTCGGTTTTGTCTCCTCGACCGCGTTTTTCGTCCTTTCGGTGATTCGCCGAACCGGCTCCTACGGAAACGTAAGACTCGGAATCGGACTCCTTGGCCGAGTCGTTTTCCTCATCGTAGCCGTTTCTCTTGGACGACGAGCAACAACTGTCTTCTTTCTCGCTGTCGAAGTCGTCTTCCAAAGGGATAGTACAAGAACACAACGCCGACAACGGGCACTTTGTTTTTTCCTCGCCGACGAGCCGTTCGGAATTCAAGGTGGCACCCGTGGTAACGTGAATCGTTGCCTCGGCCGTTAAATTAGGTATCTCTTGAAACCCTGCGCAAAGATTATATAATTTCCACTAAAGGGATTGCCACATGTTATCTTATTCATCGTCCTTTTCATTTTTTTCCTCATTGGGCGATAAAAGTATACGGTAAGGACGGTCAAGGGAACAACAGGGCTGAATAGGGTAATAACATTATCCATCATCCATCGGTGCAAGGATTATATTGTTTATGGGAAAAGGTTGATTCAGTTGGTAATCGGTGGAATAGTGACAAAAAATGTGCCGAGTGTATTTCAGCACGTTAACACAATATATATATATATGCGGCCGAGTCTCGCCGATTCTCTTGCGTTACTTGCACGTGGTCGCTACAACAAACAGCACACGGCATTCAATGACTGTAATGGTCTTATTCGTCGTGTCGTATGGTTTTTCTTTTTTTTTTTTTTTTTTGTTATTTTATCGCCAAGTAATTGACATATATGTTTTAATGACATTTTTTCGAGAACAAGTAGTGAGTGTGTCTCAACTCAATATAATATCCTGTGTTCAAAGGAATACGTGTACACGTTACAACAATCAATCGTTACATTAACATTGAACTTTGGCTGATTTCTCAGTTCTATTAAAAAAAAAAATAAATAAATAAAAACTGACTTTATCGGAAACACGATAACGTGTAATCAACAAAGGAAGAAAAAAAAAGTACCAACCGCATGCATATTATTATTCACGTTGAACAATAGTAAATTCAATTATTGCCGCATTATACTGTAATTATTAATGCCTTGTAGTGAGCATGCAACACTCGTTAAAATTTTTAGTTGTAACGTAAATACTGTGATAAGCATTTTCTAAGCATGAAAAAAAAAAAAAAAAAATGTATAAACGACTGAAAATTCGTTGTCTTTCCCGTGAACACAGGTTACGATAACTGTACATCGTCGGATTGAACGAAATGTATAATTTAATGGATTAGTCACGTGTTGTGTAAATAGAAAAAGAAAAAAAGTGTGTGTACATACGTACTTATAAAATCCAATTTCGTTCGAATGTTGACGCACGGAGGCAAATAAAAGCTTCGAAATGTGGTTCGAGACAACCAAATGGAGTTAAACATCCGATAGCTAAATTGTTTTTAATTTTGTTCCGAGTAAAAGTTCAAGCACGCGACAACTCACCGATATTTTCGGGCGCCGTCATCGCTTGCAGTATCCTGAAGGACCTCGACGGTATGGCGCCACCCATGTACTTTTTCGGTTCCGGCACCTGCTGCTCACTCGCCGGGATGTACGTGACGGGGACGGGTACTTCGTCTGCAACGAGCAATCATGCTTTTGTCAAACAATAACCAAAAACAATGAAATTCAACACTCGGCGAAGCTATATATATACAATATGATATATCAAAACACACACCGCAGAAATGAAGGTCCGCAAGAGAATGAGAGGGAGAAACGTGTTTGTGCAAGAATAAAGCTCTCGATTATTAGGTATAGGACGCAAGTATCAAACTCGCATGCTGTGTACGATACACGTATCCTTTTAAAAATTAGTCAACTGCACACTATAGCATTTTTATACGTAGCTCAGGCAAACTCGTGTAAGTATTTACCGAAAGTATTCGAATTTCGATTTTGCTTCTTCGTTGCGGGATTAACAGGCCTGCTGGGCGTCGCTGTTGGAATAGAAATTACGAAGTCAGCTCCATAACGAGGCTACTTATGATATTGTTACGGGGGGGGGGAGGGGGAAATAAACATCAACTATATTTTTTAGGGATCATTTTGGGGCATTTCGTCGAAAGAAACGTACTGGTGTTTGCGTTAACTGCGTCCCCGGATTCCGTCATGTTCTGCAAGTAACGAAAAGCTCGTGAAGGAATCGCTGCGCCGCGATATCTCGGGTCTTCCTCCTTGTGCAGGTACGAGTCGCCGTCAACTGCGTATATTATGTAATTTATATATACATATTTGTTACCCATATATAGATATGTGCTTGCCACTTGGAGTTTTTGGGTTAAATTGAATAAGCTCGATGATTTTTCTTTTTTTTTCTTTGACATTAAACTCACACAAGCGCGCGCACACAAACCGACCTTGTTCTTTGAACTTGTTCATGAGAAATCTGTCGTCTTCCGTGAGATGTAGCTTTCGCACTTGTTCGTCGTCGACTTGATCCGAGTCCGTGTCGGTGATCTTTTGCAAAACTCGGAACGACTTGGACTGCACCGGTCCAGGCTCCGCTTGCGGGCTCGTCGCTTGAACCCGTGGCATACTTCTGTAATGTTAAATCACGCCAATGCGCGTCACAAATCGTTACTTTTGCGTACAATTTATTTACAAATTCAACAGTGTCTTATTCTCACACAACATTTAGATGGTGATGTTACACATACTGACGAGATTTTCATGTGTTTTTGGGTTAAAGCCTGATGTTTTATTTCAATCAAATGAAAATGGGTGCGGGGGTGTCTGTTGGTTTTGTTACATGTGCGCATCTCGCTAAAACGATCATTATTTTTTTGTTTTAGTCAACAGTAAACTGTTTGATAATGCGTTATGTTTGATCAACTACGAAAAATGAATGGAAAAACTTGTTGCTTGGGACTAGCAAAAGACGCTTTTATCTTCAATATTCGATGTGTCGTATATATTTATTTATTCAGTGTCGTATACGTGTTTTTCATATTACAAATCCAAACAGTGTGCACATACTATAGTGGTAATAAGTATATGTATACTTAGTTTCGTGTGTGTGTGTGCGTGTGTATCGATATGTTGGTTTAATAATACACGGAATATCGATTTTTCGTTATCGTACGAAATTGCAGAAGCCGTATAAAATTTGTACTACTCGTCCGACCGATCCTGCAAAAGAGAGGGATAAGGACAACCTGTAAGATTCGCAGAGCTTCGTAACTTTTTCTTTTGTCATAAATATTTTGGATCGGATTTTACACTCACGTGCGAGGGGGAAAAAAGGGTAAAAATATGTCGCTCACCTGTTCCCGTTATCGAGAGCCGGCGATCTGTACTGAGGTTGATTGGGCGGTGCCTGACCGTCGACCTGGATCGGTATGATACGAGCGCCCCCCTGGTTCTGCTGGGCGGGGGCGTAGGTGCTCTGCCCGACCGGGTTGCCCCACCGCGACTGATGATGCGGCGAGGTATTGGACAGCTGGTGGTGCCCGGACTCGTTCATAGCTGCAAACACCGACGGCCGATCCTCGATCTGTCGGCCAACCATTTTAATTACCGCTCGTTATAGGTAAACCGGTAAAATGGTCCCGTATGTATACGAAATACCTCACCCTGACTGGGACGACCCGCTCGGCCTCTTGGCGCGCTGGTATCGTTTGTTGGTGCGGCTTGGAGGTGTTCACCACGATGATCTGCCTGGGCTGGGGTGACTGCTGGTAGTAGTCCGGCTGGTACTGGGGGCTCTCCGAGCCGGAGGACGAGTCCTGCGACCGGTTGGCGCTGGCCGATCGTCTCGCCCACTCTGGTAGCCCCTCCTGGGACTTGGACGGCTTCTGCATCCAGGGCGTGGGTGCCTTGGCCAGGGTAACCTGCGTCGGTGAGGTTGGGGGCGACGTCGGGCTCTGGTTGCCGGGCGCCGAGTTGACGACCGGTTGGATTTTCGTCTCCACTTTGATCACCGGTCGACTCGGCGCCGGGAGATCGGGCTGCCTCTCTGTGAATACGCGCACTACGCGTTAGAAATTTCTTTTCGGACTTTTCATCGTCTCAAATATAAAATAATGTTCTATACATTGTATAACTTCAAGTGGTTTCGGTGTCGATATTTATGAAATACTATGTACAATATGTGTATGTATACGTGAAAAAGATGCAAAATGTAATATTAGCAAGTGAAACAAAAGTATATAGTCACCAGACGGGGAGCGCGGGAAAACGGTGCTGTTCCTCAGGTTGGCGGCAGTGGGTTGTTGGGCCATGTTTTGGGGGAAGACGGGAATGGCGACCTGAGGGTGCGAGTAGACGTTGGGCGTCTGGGGCTGGGAGCCGGGGCTTTGTTGGCCGAGGGCGGACTTGGGCGGGCCCTCGATACCCTCGTCCTCGGCGTTCTTGGCGACGCGCCGAGCCATCCGTGGGCTGCGGATCTGCGACAGGTCGAGTTTGCCGCCCATACCCGGTGTGTAGGTAAAGGGCTTTTTGTCCTTGGTCATCATCGCGTTCTGGATGGCCGCGGGCGGCTCGAACGGATCCTGGGGTCCGTTGAACGCCGTTTTTCTCGGGCAGTGCTGAGTAACCGACGCATGATTTATTGCAATCGGTTATTTTTTTATTTATTTTTTTTTTTCCTTCAAGTCGTGACGCGCGAACGCAGTTGAAAAATTTTTTGTACAACTTAAGAAATTACCCAAATTAAAGGCAAAAATTACGTAAATATTGTGTGGATTGTTTTACTCAAAATAATATTGATAAATATATTATACACGCGAAATTGGTAAATGACAACAGTTCATGTACGATTTGTATGTTTTTAACAAGACATTTCATAAGTCGTGTGTAGTCTGTTTGGAAAATCTCCGTTTGAAATTAAAGAAATTTCGAGTAGTGATTGCAAAATATTAATAATATTCCGAAGGAAAAGAAATAATCACCGCGAGCAGTATAGCTAGAAAAAAAAAAAATAAAACATACCGCGTGCGCGCGGATACGAGTTCATTGGAAGTGCAATTCTCTCATTTTCGGTCTCGCATCAATGACGCGCGTGTATATACGTGTGCGCAGCCTTGCCGTGCACGAGGAGCCGCCGGCCTTGCGGAAGAAGCGTATATCCGCGATCCGGTCAATTTTATTCGCTAGCCGTGCACACGCGCGCGCTGCATTTTAAACGAAACGAACGAAAAGGATAAAAGATACAAAAAAAAAAAATAATGAAAAGGCGGAAAGATAAAAAGTCAAAGAGCTGCAACACGCGCGAGAGCGAGAGCCGAGTTTTATTTCCATTACCTCTGACGCAGTGCTGATCCTGAGGTTTGGCACTTGTCCAGACACCGGCGGTGGCGGCGGGGGCGGAGGCGGCGCTACAACATCCACATCGCGTTACGTTTGTTTTGCTCGATATAATATATACAATACGTGTGATACAATAGTATAAGTACAATGTATATACCAACTGTGGTGATGTACACTATACCGTTAGATTTGTATCGTGGATGTGTAGGTGTATCGACAACGTTCCGAAATGTATGACAAATAAATGTTGAATTCGCGCGTGATACGGGCAAGCGCGTCTATGTGTAGGTCGTCGGTGAAAAGTACTTGAAGAACAAAAAATAAACTCGCGCGCGACCTTTGCTAAAATGCACGAGTTTTCCTCGACTCTTTTTTTGTTTCTTCCCACTTCCTTGTGGCTTTTTTTTTTGTTATATTTCATTTTAAGGATACGATTACTTGTCCGTACACACGACACGTTTCGTCGATAATTTAACACACCGAGTTTATGTATAATATTAGCAAGTAATTGTCTCTGCAAACGAGGAGGACAGGTTGAAGACCCGTTGCACAACCCCCGCGCACGACGCGTTGCAATGTATTATACGTGTGCCACTAGTTGGATATTTTTATTTTCTATTTTCAGATTCGCGCGTTCGTTGACTTTGACTTTCAACATATATTCGCACAAGCGTGTGCTTCTTTTTTTTTTTTTTTTCTCGGTCGATGTGTGCGCCGGTGTGTCGTGATAAAAGAGGGGGGTGACCAGATGTGCAGAACTGTATGATAAAATACCTGCTGGAGCCTGGGGGATTCTGAAACAGAGATAAGACGTTTTTTTCATTGTTAAAAGTCCCTGTCTGCGTATGAATGTCAATAATTTTTGCACGTTTTTAAATGGTATCTTTGACTTTGTCGGAAAACAAAAATAGTAATAATAATAATAATAATA